ATCATAGCCAATGTACGTCCCATCCCCTCTACCTTCATCGTTATCGCACTGAGCACGTCTCATAGTGGCTCACTCGGTTTCCGCCATGTCAATAACCCTCTTCACTCGTCTTCACCAGATCCACCTTCTATCCACGTTCGTCCTCTACCCACGTTCGTCCTCCCTCCCCTACTCACTCATCCCACCTCTTCCTTGTCCACTCCTTGTCGCACACCGCCACAGACACACTCTCCCATCGCCCATCCTCATTCTAAACGACGGTGTACCGGGCGCTTATTGGGAACCTTGGATTTGAATTTGAGTACTTAACCTCGGGTTCAACTGGACAAAAACGACGATGACCAAAACCTAGCTGAAGGTCCGTGCAAGAAAGTTTCGATGCCCAAGGCCAACCGACTTATCTCCCTCTCCAAACTCTCCCTCCCTCATCCTCATATTCCCTCCCGTTCATCCCGTCCACACTTCTCACTAATCGTCTTAGAACCTATCTCCAAATTCGAATGTGATGATCTACCGCTTTCCCTTGGCGTTGAAGATCCTGAACAGCGACAACACAAGATCCATTAGCGGCCATGAACACCAATGTTGCGAGAAGGACCTCAACGAGTCCGAAGATGTGGAATAAGGTGACTTTGAGGGGGACGAGGGACGTGGTAGGTACGGATTCTGGGATATGGCGAATGCTTTTCTTTCGACACAAGGCTCGTCTAAACCTTTTTTAGCTTCGAGACCGCACGCCTTGGGGTGGGGGGGTTTCTTCTGTTTTGAACATATAGCCGACGTAATGTTCCATTTCCACTCTCTATACCGGTACTTCAGAATGCATAACGACTTGCGCAGTTGGCATCACGTACCCAACTCACACCGTCGTTATTCGTCGTGTAAATCATCCTAGACCCTTTCCCCCTCCGAGTCTTCAGTCGTCTTCAACAACCCCGCGCTCAATGCAATGAGTCAATCCAGCTTCCTCTCCGCCCATGGTCAAGTCACCTACCATCGTCCCCAGCGTAATGCTGGTCTACCATACGTCCTTCCATCACCAATCCCTTTTACAGCATCTATCACATCGAACATACCCATCAAATCCTCTTTCTCCTTCTCCTTCTCACTCCCACTCCCTCCACCTCGTCTGATCCTGGCTCAAATCCATTCCGCCTGAGACCCCATTAATCATTAATCATTCGCCATGGCCCTCATTTTCCCTGACGCGAAACTTCTCCAACAAATCATGTTCACCAACGATGTCGATGATACCGATTCCGTACGCTTCGTATTCCTTGAGAGCAACGCTAGCTTTCGTCAACGCCAAGACCTTCTCCTGCTTGTATTGGTAGGAAATTACTGTAAATGAACTCACGTTGTGGATTAGGTATCATTGGGCTGATGGTTCGTTAAGTATGTGTTATTTCCTAGATCCCCTCTCCGAATTACATGCTTTCAGAAGGAGTGGGACCACAGTGATCTCATCGTCAATGACAGCTTCCTAATCTCCCTTAGGAATTCCGAGGAGGAGATTTGCAACACGGCGAAGGACGCGATGGGTATGGGTTGTGGGACATGGTGCGACACCTAACTTTTTTTAGCATCGAGAATGCAGTTATCGCTTATCAAACACTCGACATTCGTGCCATTTCTGTTCTATTGAGAGGGAATAATACGCGTACGTGCAGTCCATTGCTTAATCACGATTTACTATAGGATGTACCACTACCCACTATTTCAAACTGGCGACTTTCGCTGCAGAAGCGTGTAATAGAAGCCCTTTCTAGGTAAGAATGGTGGTCTCCACGTCTCGGCTTCATCACTACTTGGACCACCAAGGTCAATCTCCAACACCAATTCCGTTAGACGTCCCTTTGAAATACGTTTTTCTACCCAATCGCCAATCGCTCGGAAAGGAAGCACGCTGGCGTATAGTTTCAACGTTTGAAGGTGTGGAAGCGCAGTGATCTCGTCATTGTAATTAACCGTATTCAGCTCCGAGTTGAGGAGGATTGTCGTGACGACTGGATCACATTCGGGTGGTAAATCCAATGACAGATCCCTAATCCCCTCTAAGAACGGTAAAAGGCTGGCAATCGCCATCAAGAGCTCATCTTCGTCGAACCCTCGAGGAAACTTAAGAGTAAGAGATCGTAACTTGTTCTGAGAACGTTGGAGAAGATTGACGAGGCTGTGATAACTGCCGGGTTGGATGTTGCCAAGGGTGAGTTCTGTGAGCGCTGGGGTTAACAAGGTCTCGAACAGGAGGTTGATATTTTCACTGTCTTCGATGATTAACGATTGAAGTGCCGCGAGAGGGATGGTTTGTGTGAAAAACTGTGGACCTGGAGATTGTGTTATCCGTTGGATGCAAAAGTGTTCGATGGCTGTTGTTAATGAGAAATAACGACCCAGCGTATCCACTGGTGCTTCATTCATCTCGATCCGAGTAAGTCGCGGGAGGGATGTTATGACTGAGGACTCTGACGCTGGTTCAAATGGAGGTATATAGCTATGCCATTTGACGCAACGGAGGGACTGCGCATGGTGGAAACATTTCCAGATGTTATTCAGGTTATGATTTTCCCATTCGAGACTTAAATCAACTGTTTCAAGCTTTTGCAAACAGACCAAATTCCAGTTGAATAACTCAAGGGATGGGAGTGGCGTGAACGTGTGAACTTTCAAGCTTCTCAACCGCGACAGGAGGTCCGCCTTGTTCATTCTAAAGCCATACAGGATGCGGTCCAGGATGACCTTCCTTGCGCCTGTCATTTCCACGCCGCGCCCTTGATTGATCTCAATGTCAATCAGGTATTTGGCTCCGCTGATGCGCCGAATATAACGATTGAACCCTGCTTCAATGGAGGAAGCGCTTTCCAAGCTGTTGATGACAAACTTTGATAAGAATGCCCCGGGATTCGCCTCGATGAGTTCCTGCCATGATCTTTTAACTCCGATAACGGGCCAAGAAGCTGGCACATCGAGGTGAGGGACCGTCGAACCAGGCGGGAGAGGCATAGTCGTAGCGAGAACTAGAATTTCACACAGCAATTCTGGCGGGATGTGGCGAATTGGGCCGTCAAGAATTGTTGCTTCTGGCTGGGGCTGGACAGGCTTTGATTCTGAAGGATTAGAGTCCATATCCATTATATTTTGAAGACGGGTTGCTTGTTTGAAATGTGAGATGAGTGGAATTTCGTGAGGAAAGAGTTGAGAGGAACTTGAACTTTATATACCAACCAACCAATCACGGTGGCGAATATTCCCCTGATCCTTGCCGCTTCTTGTGGCATCCTATGCCTCCAAGCCGCATGGATCCAACCCCAATTGCCTGATGCACTCTATAGCGGCTAAGACGAAGGCTGCTGAGGCCTGAGAAAACCAACACCTCCTACCCGCCGTGCTTGGCCACTCTGTGGCCCAAACCTCTTCGAATCATCACTCGGTTAACGTTAAAGGAATCGTGGCGGGCATGGCGCATATTTGCTGAGTGCACCGTGTCTCGTAGAGACGTTTCCAGGCGTCTGTGCCTCAAAGGGTGTCTAGAACCACGACGCGAATGCCACTATTCCCTTGCAATTGGGTGGCGTAAGAACTATGAGCAAATTCAAATAGACTTGACGCTGCAGAAGTCGACTGATTTGGCCCTGGGAACCGAAAGTACCCACTTGACTATGAGTGTTACAACTGTGATGGTTGGATTCGAGATCAGTGGGGGTTTGATTGGTTTGATTTCTAGTGCTCGAGAGGGGTAGATTGTGCAATTCGTTATTCCCTCGAGTGTACATACATACTCTTGAGTGCGCTTGGCGTAGACGACGACGACGACATCCTGTCAGAAGCTCGCGCCGAACGATCGGCATGGTATGCTGTAGTGCGTCGACAGCGAGTCAGTGACACGGTTTCAGAATCTCTTATCGTATAATGGATGAAGTACACACACATCAAATGTCCGTGAGCAGCCTTATGTTCTGTGTGGGATCTGGGTTCGAATCCCAGTGAGAGAGTCAGTGTTTTGCGCAGTGGTTTTTGAATCTGAGACTATTGGGGGAAGGGGTACGTTCGATGTTGAGTGGAAGGTCGGCGTGGTAGGACAAAAATTACCTTTGGGGTGGTATATGATATTAGTTTCACCTGTGTTTCTCTGGGTGGCGAGGTCGCAACTGAAATTTGGCTGATTGTCGGAGTGTGAGGAGGCGAATTTTGATGTTTTAGGTCGGAGATTCTGAGACCGATTTTCTAATCTCTCGGATTTGTTTGACGAGGGGAGAGTAGAGCGGTCGTACCAGAGGTTCAGTTGAACGACTCAGTAGTCTGTATACACAGAGGTCGAATAAGAACCCCTCTCGTCGTATAACGGATTAAGTACACACACATCTGATTATCTGTCCAAAATATCTGGTTGATTCTGTGTGGGACCTGGGTTCGAATCCCAGCGGGAGGGCTCCTCTGTGTGTGCAACTTTTTATTTTTATCTCGCCGGTGGGCGCAGTGAAGGGAGATGCACTGAAGGTCGGATTCGTTAGATCTTGTCTTGATTGTGATAGGGTTATGCTTTGTTACCAATTGCTTCGATGGGATTGTCAGGAACAATGAGCTCGACGTCTTGAACGGCGTTATACGTACGTGGACAGTGCGGCTCGTTAAGCTCGGATCTCGGGAAGTAAAGCAAAAGTAGGGGGTTGCGCCGTCAAGGGGTTTAGATACCTCCGTACTTGGAATTCGAAGGAGATTCTACCACGAAACCAATTGATGCCGCCATGATTTTGTAGTCAAGTGCATGAACGTGGACTCACCTCCTCGCGATCGAGTTCACCTGTTCATGATCAACCGTTAATAATACCCATCTCTCATAGTATAACGGCTAAGTACACACACTCGATGTCGGCATTTGAGTACTTTAGAGCTCCGTGTGAGATCTGGGTTCGATTCCCGGTGAGAGAGTACGCTGATATCCAACATGGTTTGCTTTTTGACGTGGTTTTTGGCTCGTACTTCCGCAGGTGAAGGGGAAGGCTCGTGTATCATCTGGAACCAGGAAGTATGAGTCGTTGAGCTGTCAGGTCGATACGGTGTTAAAATTGCTCCCAGAAGGTAGGTTTCAACGGATGACGTCCCAGTTCTATCGCGATTTGAATCGTGACGTATCGTTCAGCCTGACTGAGATATGAAACTTCCCAAAAGAAAATCCGACGTATCTTCGTACTTCTTGCCCGAGCATCCATCTGTTCCCATCTCTACCGAAGAATTTTACACTCAACGACGGAGAAAGCAGAGTCAAAATCCAACTCTCTCGTGGTATAACGGCTGAATTACACACACCAGATATTCTTTGGTTTTGCTTTCATTGTGCGTGTGGGATCTGGGTTCGATTCCCAGCGAGAGAACTAGGCATGATGTCAATAAGGTTTATCTTTTTTTTCGTCCATGTTCGTCCAGGTGCTTATATGGTCGAAGAAAGTCGGCAAGGCTTACCATGACGTGGACACAGAGGGAATACACGTCAATCATAGCCCCGAACCTTTCTCTTGTCCTCGTCTCAACCTCTTCGTGAATCATTGATCAGTTCGAGTTCGACAAACGAATCAAAAGTGGATAGACGCAGCTGGTTTGAGGATTTGCTCCGCTGACGCAGTATCTCGTTCATTGACTATGCGTACAAGACGAAAAAAGCTCCAGAAGTGTGCGGAGCCTCTGTCAAAGGCAAAGTGGGCATCGAACTTTGAAGTGGACGGGGAAGGGCGCAACGCCGGAAAAGACGCGATTGGATTGGTCTTTACGTAATGTTGACTTCTTCGGCATTGCGGACTCTTTTCTCCGTTCCTCCCTCCTTCGCTCCATCGCCGTCGCCGTCCATTGACATCTCAGGTTGACGCGTTGACGACCGATGCAATCAGGCGCTGTCCACCATCGTAAGCGCGTAAGCCCTCGTGCACTTTCCCTATCCTCTTCCCTTCTCTGCTGCTCAAAACCCCATTATCCCTCCCTCGTATCTCCTCTCGTCGCGTTCCCGTTCGTCTGTCCACTCCTCTTGCTCATCGTCTTAGAACATATCTCCGAACCACCTGAATATGATGTTCCACCACTTAAGCGCTTAACGTTGGCGTTGAAGATGCTGAAGACATGGTCGTGACGAGCCAAGATCCGTGAACACGAGTGTTGCAGAAGGAGATGATCATGGAGCCCGAAGAGACAGAATAGCAGGGCTTTGAAAGAAACGAAGGACGTGGTAGATGTCGATTGTGGGTATGGTGAAAGTCCTGCTTCAGAGAGGACTTGACATTGATATGACGCTTTTTTAGCTTCGAGACGGTGGTCCTTCCATGTCGAACACTCTGTTACGGGGTTATTCTGCCTTGAGCATACAGCCGACATACGTTCCATCCCTGCGCTGACCATGTCTCAGAGTGGCTACAGTCGTTGCCCGTCACCTCAACCACCCTGCCACCTTTCCCTCTCTTCACTCGTCCTCACCTCCATTTCCGATCCGTCTTCGTCCTCTCCCCACGTCCCTCCTCCTTCTCCCACCCACTCATCCCCCCTTCTCCTTCCTCTCCTCCCCTTCTCTCCTCGTTTTAACCTCCCGCACACCGCCAGACGTGCACTCCCATCGCCCATGTTCCTAATCCACTCCGACCGTCAACAAGGAGCAATCAGACGAGCTGCCCTAATAGCAACCGATCTACAGTAGCTTGGTTTTTCGATAACCTCCCAGTATCGGCGCTTCCGTTGGCGTTGCACCTCCATTGTTGGTTGCTTCCTTATTTGGAGTATATCGGGACTTTTATAGGCTGGGGTTGGCATACGATGAAGGGGTATGATATGGGTAAGCTCTTTTGTGCTCCCTGGGTGGCTTTGATGGTTTTTTCGAGGCTTATATGCGACATAGGAAACGAAATGATGTTAACGGCGATGTGGATACTTCCATTTGCACTTATACCGACTCCGTTCTCCTCGTCCTCGTTATCTTTCACCAACTCTAATTCCCGAGCTTGTCAATCCGCTTCTTTACCTTCCGTCCTAGTCGAGCTTGAGCTTCATCCTTCCTCACTATCACCTACCTTACCGGTACCACCATCTCATACACCACCGACAGATGTTCAGTGAGGGACTTCCATAACTCTCTTCTGAAACCATAAAGTCAGTTGCCATATATTTCCGTTCTCGTTTTCGTTGTTCTTCCTGGACATCAGACGGAGGACAGGGCATACCACGGTAAAGCATGATTCCATGCAAAGCAATAAGGAGGTCCTTGCTCGAAGACTCTGTAGAATCAATAGCGCTCCAAGCCATCTGAACGCCTTGAGGTTTCGAAGTTCGAGGGCAGGGAACTGGAGGTATCGGTGACTCAGATATTCAGCTGCTCTCCACAAAAAGGCGAACACAATATCAATCTCACGAAGATCAGGAACCCAAATTTCTAACCTCCCGGATTTGTTTGACAGAGTAGAGGCGAGAACAACGAGATCATACCAGAGATTCGGTAGAACGATGCTGTAGACGGTGAGGCCGAATCGGAATCTCTCGTCGTATAACGGATTAATTACACACACACCTGATATATGAGCACATTCTAGCTTTCCTGTTCTGTGTGGGATCTGGGTTCGAATCCCAGCGGGAGGAATCATTTCTTCGCAAAGCGCATTTTTGTCTCATCGGTCTGTGTGGTGAATAGAGTGCATTGAG